GAAAGTTATTATTATAACCACGAGTCAAATTATCTTTGTGGTAAAAGAATAATTGTTATTTTTTGAGATCTCGAATATGTGTACGAGTGTTTAATATCAAATGACTGGAAATTATCTTTAAACAAATATTGTTGTATACGTACGGTAGATTAATCAAAATAATTGTTATTATAAATTTTTTCTATTGTATTTTCATATTTTTATATATTTTTTAAAAATAAAAATAGTAAAAAATTGGAATTTGAATACAAGGTCAATAGATTTGTGTATAGTTAAAATATTTATTTTAGAGAAATTTTAAAAAAAATAAAGTTTACAAGAAACTAACAATTAAAATTCTGGATAACTCAAATTTCTTATTTAAATTTAATCTAAAGATATGATTTTTCTTTTAATTTTTTCGTAAATTTATCTCATTTAATAAACATGGCTCCATTAAATTTATAAATTTATATTTAAAATAAAAAAACTACAAACAAGTCCTTTTAAAAATAAAATAATCGCTAGTGTGTGTATTGAAATAAGTAAAAGAACTTAAAAGATAAAACTAATTAAAAAGGAGGATAAGAGATTAAAGTAAGCGTAGGTTGGGCAGGAAACGAAAGAAACGTAAAGCTCGTGAAGAGCACGTGAGGGATATCGTGAATCGAGGTAGATATGTGGAGTGTGAGAAGCACGTGTTGTGCATTTAATTAACTTAGCCATTTCTTATATTATTTGGAAAAATAATAATGAATATATATATAACGTGGTTTTATTATTTAAGTATATTCTTTTTCAAAACTATTAAAAACAAAATACTTTTAAATTTTATTTATAAAAACAATATTTATTCGTAAGATAAATATATATATATATATATGTGTGTTAGTTGCGTTTTTGTCTTATATGTCAACTTAATCATCAAATACTAAAAATTTTATTGATTAATGTAAAAGACATATTTAATCATTCGTATCTTTTAAATTTTTAAAAAAATAATATATCTTAATAGTGTAAATGACGATTATTAAGTTTTAGACTTGAGCACCAATAATTATAAAATATTTGAACGTTAATTATCAAATAATTAATAGTCTTTAGAAGATATACTATTACTTACAATCATTCATCCTAGATTAATGAAAACATGATATATCATGTCTATATCTTTGTGGAGAATTATTTAGTTATTCTATGTGCTATATGAGAAAAATTTGAGCCAAAATATTTATCAATTGACACAAACTAACTTACTTCAGTGATTGAAGAAATTATTGTTATTCCTTATGGTCAAGAGTCTGAGTACCAACAGTAACACCAAAATGATTGAGTGTTCATTGTCAAATGATTAAAAATATTTAAAGCATATAATACTTTGTAATCACCTTAGTTTAATAAAAAAATCTTAATCAATTGCCATCAATATTTCTTGAGTGAGTGAGAGTTTGTTTACGGTTTTAAATTGATTGTAAATGTTTACATCATAAAGATTAGATATAAACTAATTTTAAATTACAAAAAACTATAATAAAAATGTTTGTATTTTATTGTGGTATATGAGCACGTGGTTCAAATTTTATAAAAATAAATTTAAAATAAATGATGAATTGATAAAATAAGAAATTAAGAAAAATAGGAACTAAATAGAAAAATAAAAAATTAGTTATCAGAAAGAACAATTGAAAGTACATATGTATTATACGATAGTTTAGGAACATGTTGTTCAAAATTAATAGAAAACAATACTTAAAATTAATGAGGAATTGAAGGAATACTGAGTCCAGAGACTAAATCGTAAAATTGTCAAAATACTTAGTAACTATTTTTGATTTTCGAGTAACTCGAAATTTCTAAATTTCAACTCGACTTGAATTCGAAAACCGAATTGATAATTCAAATTGACTCGAATTATTCAAATAACTCAAAATTAAAAAAATAATTTTTTAAACCGAATCAAATTTTATTCATCCCTAACCACATGTCTTGAAGGTAATTAATTTCTGATTCTAAAATTCAATTAACCCACAACATTAATAGATTTGAATATTAATAAAGATGGAGATAAGCCGATGGTAGCTGTAAATAAATCGTATTTTAATGTTAAATGAAAGAAAATATGTGATTTATAATATTGACGACTAACAGCTTTTGTATAATCGTATTTTAATATCAAAGTCGCTATACCAAAACTTCACGTGCTAATATAGGTGGGAGTGGGACCATGGGTCTATGCTCGACCAAAACATCTTTCCTTTTCTCTTTATAACGAATTGAATTTTTTCGGTTTTTGTTGGATGGGACAATTCAACCTTATCTCGTCCTTATTTTTATTATATATCAATATACTTTTAATGAAAAACATATATTATTTTAATAAAAATAAATATATTTGACAAAACCCATGGGGAGTTATTAAAAAGAAGAGAAGGGTTGATGAAAGAATGACTATTTAGGATGGTGCCATATGGGAAACAATTACAAGGAATGAGGATACAATGTGTATATGGTGCCATATACACGCTCAAATGTATTCCATTTATGGGGAGAATAAAGGCACCGGTAGTTGAAACATCAACATAACATTTACAAGGAAATAATTGCATCTTAATTGTACACACCATTTTTCTTTGTTTCAGTATAAAAAAGATCATACAGCAATTGAGGATACAATGGACCTACATATGGGCACAAAGAGAAGTTAGTAGGAATGAGGACAACCATCTTCTAAGATTTTTAATTTTTATATTTTCTATTCAATATGATTTTGTGTATTTTATTACAGGACCAATCCCAACAAATACACACTTGATTTCTTACCAATTACTATTAGACTAGCCCATCGCATAATTCTGGGCCCAGTATAGAAGCAACGATAAAGCCTAAAATTACAGATTGCAACATAACAGATTTCCAGTGGCTGATTCGACACTGTTTATAGCGTTACTTAGTATCTTAACTTCAAGACAGAGCAGAAGCAGCAGCCGCGGTTTTTTTTTTAAATCTTTCTACATTGTTTTAAGACAATAATTAAAGGCCAAAACGTCAAAACAAGACTGGATTGTTAGCTGCTGTTTGGCGTCTCTTTTACCACTTTTTAAAATATATCATTTTTAGTCCTAATGCATCGTACAACAACCTGGGCAGGGCAACATGCAAATGAGTTGTTTGAACATGATTTCAACACTAAACATGCAAATGGAACTAGCACAAAGCTGCTACTGTTCTTTTTCCAATTCAGCAACTATTTCCATGCATAAACCGAGGCTAACATACCCCTAAACAAGACAGTGTACCTACGAAGTATTTTAAGCAACATTTGACACTAATTTATATTAAAAACAACCCACTCAATTATAACAAGCATAATATCACTACGATAATGCACAAACACTTCAAACATGGCAATGATCATTTAAACACAATCATGAATGTGTGCTAGGATCAACATATCCTAATCCCCTTTTGTAAAATAAGTTGGTATTTATTAACCAATCCCTTTCCCTTTTGTTTTTAGCATGGTTGAAGTAACTGACAAACCATTTAAGTGGAGCAGATCCATTGCCAATGGCACAAGTATTCACAAATTACGTTAACCTTTGACAACAACGTGACTCTTGGTTAACAACTGGCCGTGTGAATGATCTGTTCTTGTTCCTCTCTCCAACGTGACATTGGATGAGACTTAGCTTGAGAGCCATTCATTCATTCCATTCAGAAAGTGGCCCCCTATTATTGAATTCCTCTGTGAGCTCACCATGTCCAAATGTGGCATGTGAGACACCACTTAACCTCTGACTCATCTAACATTTGATGTTCGACGAGGTTTAATTGGCGGGCATGGGGTTCTGCTTCTCCCCAAATCAAACAAGCCCTTGTGGCCTAACACATGTGATTGATTGGAAGAAGTTACAATTAGGACAAAATATATCCTGTCATGCACGTGTCGCTGACAGGTCCTGTCATCGCAATTGGAGAAGCCAAAGCTCGGGGAACGAAAGTTGGATTTATATGTGCTGCCCAAACATCGTCTCTTTTCGACGATTTCAGCTCAATATCTCAACAAACCACTGCTTAATTGCTGGGGAATGTTAGTCTAGGAATTCAAGCAGTACCAAGGGTCAAATTATAGCATCATAGGCCTATGCACGATTTTCTTGCATGTTTTTGGGAAACCAAGTTAACTACATCAGTACTCGGTACCAACCACGAAACATAACATCAATCACAATCTCAACACACATTGTAAAACGTGCTTATATGTATATAAAGTGTTAAATAGTTAGCTAAGCAGGTTAACCAATATAAAGATAGATTTGAGAAATCTGAAATTTAAGTGTGTTTTATGAATAAAACAATCCCATTCGAATATGAAAACCTTTTTAAAAAAATGGATGTAGGATACATAAGATGATATTGCTGGTTGTAGTGCCTTCTTGATTAGCTTTTGCTACGTCTGAACTTGAAAGCCACCACAAAGGGGAGCAAAAGGAAGAAAAAGGAAAATATGACATTGACGCGGCACACATGTTTCATCCTATTAAAATTGACTACTACATTTGTTTATTTGGAAAATAATAATCTATCCATTTATCATAAACATTTCTTAATACAAAGACTGATCTGTATGCTCTAAGTTTATAAAAATATCTACAACGATTACCAATAAATTTAGATATAAAAAAGGTGTCACGGAATTCTGGTTTATGAAAGAGTAGAGCCTCGTTAGAGACTTTCGGACACCTCACCTTTTGCCGTTTTGGGGCTTTATGATCATGACGGAGGATGCAGTTTTACGTCATACTTGTATAATTCTGTTTCTTTTACATGTCTTATTATGTTTCTTATTTAATTTTGACTCTTGATTAATCATATTATGTACTTAGTTTAGTTTAATTGTTTTCTCTTTTACGAGTAACATCCCTCGCCGTTTATTACGGCTATGGGTATTCCTGTAATTTTAGTTATCTGATGCAAATATAAGTGCCCACGACACACCAAAGCCAATGGGTTTTAATGCAATGGATCAACCTCCGTACACTGTCACTGAGGATGACTTGAACAGCTCTACCACCACCACCGCCAACGGAAAAACTAACCACAAACACGAGACAAAGCGAGGCGTCACGCGACATGCTGTCTATCGAGGTATCCGCAGAAGACAGTGGGGCAAATGGGTGTCGGAGATCAGAGAGCCACGCAAGAAGTCTCGGATTTGGCTAGGCTCGTTTCCCGCCCCGGAAATGGCTGCTAAAGCTTACGACGTCGCCGCCTTCTGCTTACGTGGAAGTAAGGCGAGGCTAAATTTTCCCGACGAAGTGGAGGGTTTACCGAAGCCGTCGACGTGCACGGCTAGAGATATTCAGGCCGCGGCTGCAAAAGCGGCGCATTCGGTAGTTTCTCGTAATAAAGGCAACGTGTCAGCGGAAGAAGCGACTGGGCATAGCGGTGACGACTTCTGGGGTGAAATCGAATTGCCGGAGCTGATGATTAGTGGCTGTCAATGGACATTTGCCGCCGACTCAGCGTGGCCGGAAGGTGAGGCTCTGCAACAGTTCTTGGCATGTCTTTGACATTGTTGTAGAAAAGAACAAATTCATAAATGAACCTCTTCCGATTGCTGTATATGTACGACAGTTATGGCATGTTATACCATATCCTTCAAGTTTTGTGATTTGGAATTGGCTTCGGAATTTGGTAGTACATCACAGGTTTCCTATCAAGCCACTGTTCAATTTTTAGGCCTTCAGATAGAGTGGATTTCTATAGCTTTTGTTAGGATCACGCGTAGAATTTTATTTATGTATTAGAAATTACATAGTTTAAAAGTGGATTTGACCGTTAATCGAGTGTTATTTGTCAATTTAATTAATATTGTTACCATTATAATAAATTAAAAATTAAAATTTTTAATATATTTAAATATAGAATTTCTTTATTTTTTTAATAATTTAGAGTGATTATAAGGTAATATTTGTTCATAATATTTGTTAATCATTGATAACACACATTGCATACGTAACTGCTTTAACTCAATTTTTTTAAAGGAGAATCAAACCTGAAATCGAGATCAAGTTGAGAAAACATCTAAAGTAATGTGACTAAAGTCAATGAAATTTAAATGTGTTATGTGAAGGAAAACCCTACCTTGTTGATTAGAGATCCCAAAATCTAGATTCAAAGGGACAACCTAATTGTATAGCTCGTGTACGGTCATTGTGGGGGTTTCTTATCCCAAGTCTGTTCCTATGATGTAAACAGTGATTAAAGTGGTATACACTAAACTCTTGTGACCAATGAGTTCTTGTGTGAAGTATGCCATTGTTTACCCAAACAACAAAATAGTTCAAGGACAACGCTTTTACTCTTTAACCAGTAAAGTAAATATACTTTCACAAGGGAAGGTTCAAAGGAGGAAACATACCTATCTTATGCAACTATCGGTCGTAGAGGCTATCACCATATTGAGTTAAAATGTTTTGATTAAATCATCAATTTTATTAATGTGGGGATTGTTGGAAATAGGGTGAATTACACTGATGAGTTTAATATTTATATTAAATTTAGAATCCTTTATAAATTAAATAATATTGATTTAATTTAAATAATAAAAGAAGCGTATATTTGTTTAATATTTTAAATTTAAAAGATATTGTTATCTGTTTAAATTTAGATATTAAAACATATCTGGTTGGAGTAAATCTCTCAGATTTAATATTTTAAATTTAAAATATATTATTATCTTTTTAAATTTAGTTATTAAAAGAGATTTAGATGGAGTAAAACTCTCTCGAAATTCCCCTATAAATACATAGCAACCTTCTCAATTTTTTCACATATTAGAATTCAAGAAGTTTTCTTCTCTTGAAAATATTTTCTCATTCTTAGAAAATATTATTTTCTCCCTTAGTTTTTCCAATGATAGTCGAAGGCAAGGAAAATTCGTGATCTTTACTGTTATGCTACTGTAGTTGATCATCAAGTTGTTGTATCGTGGGAGTCAAACGATCAAAAGGTCTCGAGCACCAAGGAGTGACCGAAAATTTATTTTAATGAAACTGTGTAGCGACAGACCACAAGATCAAATATAAAGAATATTTTATTTCATTTTAATTCTCTTTTATTTATAAAGAATTTGATTATTTCTTTTACTTTTTCTTAGGTTATATTATTATCTCGGATTGTTACTCTCGGACAACAACCGCATGCGCTTACGATGGAACAACATGAAGACAATATCTTGTACCAGAAATAGTATTTTTAAATTTCACTGCATTGCGTTCAACATTGCTATCATCATTGAAATTACATTCAGTGTAGCTTCTTGTCAGATCATAAGCATGCATGGTTATTTCCCAGGAAAGAGCCTCAAACTCTTTTCATCCATGTGCCCAACAGTAAAAACCCATTGCATTTGTACGTTTCAATTCAAGAGAAAGACAATGGTAGTGTAAGTATGTTGGTTGGACCAGTAAAAGGTATAGTGCATATGCAGTAACATCTTCTACTATCTTCACCATGAAAATACTTTACTGCAAGGCAGTCAACTCCAACATGTCCCAGAAGAAGAAACCGATCTTCAGCCAATACTAAAGGTGCCCAACTGAAGCTTGTATATTTAGAACATTTATCTCGAGTTACATGCTTTCCACAAATTTTCCATGCAGGAACCAATGTTGGATAGTCAAGAATACCATTTGAATCATTAGAAAGTGACCAAAACAGAAGTAGACCATTAGAATCCAATGAAACAGCCAAATCAACTTCACAAACGTAGGGGTGAATACTAACTTGCGTGATTTTACTGGTATCATCATTTATATCTAAAATTCCAACTACTGAACAAAATAGGGAATAACGACCCTCTATTGCTATAGTTGGGCACTACTCATTAAATTGCCGCCGTAATCTATTATTATTGGTGCAATTTTGCTTCACACAGTTATTTTTTATTAAAATGATTTCGACTATCCCTGTTATTGTTATATAATAAATATTATTTTAATACTCGATCGCTATTTAAATCTCTTGTCCATTTCTCATGATAACAACCTATTTGAGAAAGTAATTGTAGTTTTAGTATTCAAAAGTCCATTTCTATTAAGATGTTGAACTTCAAGGGCCTAAAGTGTTTCTTACACAACGTCACTCGAGGGAACCTAATTGGTGATATGTCATCAAGGCAATGGATTGCCCATAAAGTAACCAAATTTCCAGGACCAAAGCTAGTAAATGTTTTGCATTATTTTTACTACGTTCGATCATCACACTGAATATCACTAAAGATGAGTATCGTTAAATATCATTAATTTAATTTATAAAAATAAATTTTTTTTAATAAACTTGACGTATAATTATAAATTAGATAAAAATTTAAAGGTAAATAATAAAATATTAATTACATTATTTTCCCTAATTTTTTTAACAAAATTTTAAAGGTCAATTATAAATTTTGTATTGTTAGAAAAGATTATGGAAAATAATGTAATTAATATTTTATTTTAAATAATTTACTTTTAAAATTTTCATTAATTTATAATTATACATTGAGTGCTTTAGAATTTTAAATTTTTATAATTTCAATTAATAATGTTTAGTGATGGTTATCGTTAGTGATACTCAACAGTACTCGTCAAACGTGGCTTACCTATCTTTTAAATATTAGGTGACACCTTGATTGTTTATAGCCCAATATATTTTCTTTTTCTATTTCATGGTTTCATTTTTTTTCTCCTGATACATCTACTGTTTCATTGGTTTAACCTGTTGAATGGTACATCGGACACCAAAAATTGGTTTAATCTCCGATCCAATATTTGTAATATACTATTAATTTATATTATGATCATCTTAAAAAATATATTTAAGTATTAATAAATAATACTACATCATCAAACTTTTAAAATATAGAAATATTTCTTTACATTCGTTAGTATCTAATGTGTCTATACTTAAATGAACTGGCGACTTCATAATCAAAATGATGGTTGTTATCCTTAAAGATCTCAGACTCAAGCATGACATATATAACATTTATGTTATTGTTAAATAGTTGAGATTCTTTCAAACATATCATAATATAAATTCATAATTAAATATTATGGTAAAAAAATTTTTATTATTAAATAATTTAACATGATTCAATTTTAATTCCATTAAAATTATAATAATTTTATTGTATTAGAATATATGTCAATATTTTTCATTATAAAATTTACGTGACTTGTTTGATCAGTTTAGTGGGAGTCATCGATCCATTAAATTTATGACAAGATACTTTAATCATTTAATCGGTGTCTCCATTCTTTTTGTACCCTCTTAGGCCTTACTTAACATTTATTCTAGTGTTTTATACATATTTGTTCTCATTTATGATCATACTATAGGTCTACGGCCTCCTGAATAACAGTTTGGCGTAAATGGTCATTTTTAAACACGCGTTTTGAAATCATTACTGTACAAAAATCTCAACTTTTACATTCTAGACAAGATTTTGAAATCGATGAGAGGGATTTCGAAATCTCTATAGTAGATTGTCTTGTTTTGACTTTCTAATGCACTACAATCACCTCTAAACACTTTTAATTGCTATCAATATGATCATAAGTAGTTATTACAGAACTAATCCGAGTCAGGCACTATAAAAATTCCTACTAAAGAAAAGTATAAAAACTAAGTTAGTATAAAGCTAAAATAATACAATGCAAAAATAAATAGAAAATAACATCGTCTAGTCTCAACAATAACGTCAAAAACTTGATGCCCATGATCTTGTGTGAATGTATCCATAGAAGTACAGGTATACACTATCGCGACAAACAATAAAGTGGACACATTGGCATGTGTCGAATATCTCATCCCATAGAAATTATAGTATTGCACAATTGATTAATTTCTGTAAGATAATCAAATAAATGATGGAAGAGGTTAAGTAATAACACAAATAGTGGATCAAGAAGGCTTTTGCATTGCGATTTGTAACTCACAACTTCCCGAACTTTGGAGACAGATTATTACCTATAATAAACTATCGAGTGCCGACTATGTTGAATTAATAGTCTCAACAAACATGTTAGATGAGTACTCTCCGGTCGTTAGTGTATTAAACCTACTTGACAAAAGCAAGTCTAACCTAGCAAATTCCTTTACTAAGATAGCTAGATTATGGACACGATCAAGTAACTTTCGTGTAACACCCCGATTTTTTCCCAAATCTAAACTCTAGAAGTTGGGGGATTTTTCATTAAAACCTAAATTTAATTTAAGACCTAATTGAATTTTAGGAAATTAGGTGATCATTTTGTAAATAACTCATAAATTTCGTTCTTTTTGTGGAAACTCTAAAACGTAGGATGACCAATCTAATAATTGAACCATTTCACTTTAAACAAGCTCCTTCGGTCCTTCCTCCTGCACGATTATATCTTATGCGCGGAGTCATTCTTCCCATTTTCATCCTCACGCTTAAAACCCTAGCAGCGCCGTCCTTGGCCTTCAACGCTTCATCGTCGTTCTTCGTAACCCCGTTTCCGTTGGGGCTGTTTGTGTTGAAACAACGAGCCTTGCTCGTTAAAATGCCGCCGTCGCCGTGTGTAATCGGCCGCTCGTATGGGAAAGACCTGACTGGTTTTTGCTCCGTCGGGGTCGCTTTCACCGTCCGTGTGGAGTCGTTTAAGTTGCTGCCACTTCGCCTCTCCTCCATTAATGTCGCCGTCGGCCGTTTAAGGCCATGGGAGGCCGGCCGTGGAATCCCCGACCCGTGGGATTGCTGT